ATGAGTAATTGTACGTTAAATAATCGGCCACTTGGGCGTGCCATAAGCCTCTTTATGGCTACTTCCTGTAAGTATTTGAAACCCTTCAGTGTAATCACGTCGGAGAACAGAAACCGACAAAAAATGCCCCAAATAATCTACCCCATTATCTAAACTAGAAAAAATTTATGGGCTTGAGTATATAGGCTCAATTTAGATAATTTTGAAGGCAAAGTTAAGTACCGAACTACATATTAGCAACTACGAACGGATGAATTTGAAGTGGCAACTTTTGATTGAAAACAACAGTCGCACTTTCTTTAGAAGAAATAGAAAGTTGAAAGTTAATAGGTACTTTTGAGCAGAAATTCAAACAACAATTGACGTAATAAATAATGAATAACATATACACGTATGTAACTAAGTATCTCGAGAAGTGAATGAAACTTTTTCTACAATAGAATTGAATTAAATCTGTTTCCTTTCAATTAGTACAGGTATGTGGCTGAAAACAACACGGTATTTTTAAAGAAAAACCAATTAATTGAAGTGATGCAAACACAAATTAATCCAGTGTTTGATTTGAAACGGTGACATCTCAGTCGGTCGGGAAACAAAGAAAACAATTGGACCGTAAACGCGGTTCTTCATACTTCCATTGTTCAGAGAGCAGGTGTATTTTTACACTAGATCACCTGCGTTTAATCATCTGAATAATTCTTTGCGTTTCTGTTCTTTACGGAATTATCGTCCTTGTTTCTGTTTCCCATCGTCAGAAAACCGAACCAAATTTGATACACTACGTACATAGGTGTGGATAAATAAAAAATTATACTTTTTCCGGTTTTTATATCAATAACATTATTGTCGAATTTGTATTTGTACGTTATTTTTATGGGGCAGGTGGTAGAACAGTATAAATGCACACCCCTAATGCCGGAGCGGTCTGTTTTTTTGTGAGTCAACCACCCCCGTTCTTTCTAATAATCCCCCAGTTTGAAATCGGATAAAGTCTATTTGCCAAACGAGGCCGCAGCCATTGGATGCGTTACTACCGGCACCCTTTTGTGTCACATTCTACCACCGCAGAGTCCCGACACAGAGAGGAGACGCTTTGTGTATTCAACTTCTTCTTCTTCCTCTTTCGTTTTTCGACTACCCCGATCGGCTTATCTAAAATTGCACGCCGTCTTATCGTTTCCCAGAATCGACGCTGGCAACTACCTCCTTCTTAAATTATCCAGGGGGTCGCGGTTCTTTCTTCTAGCCGTCGCCGCTGCGGCGACATAATACGATATTTTACAGGATGAATATCAAAAATGAAAATTCGAAGAATCCATCCAGTAACGAACAAGGGTCACGTTCTGGAACCCTTTCGTTTTTGGCTACCAACCCTAGCGTTTCATTATTAAGTGCTCATAAGTGGTTGTCAGTCTTTGGAGTACGTATTTATTAATCCTCTTCTCTTATTAGGGGCACAAATCAGCCAGGATATGAGTTAGCAAAAAAGTCGCTGTTTTCTTTTTCACTTCCTTCACGTCTAACAACAGGTTTCACCCCCGAAATTCAGTGCCGGCAGTTACTTAGACAAAAAGGGAAATTGAATGAATTGAGTGGTGACAGTCACGGCATGTCTGATTTTACATGCATGTGCGGTGCGGAAGGGCGCGCTTTATGAATAGGTTTGCCATTAATAAATTTGGAATTTGAATGGGGTAGGCGCAAGATAAAGGGCCAGGTGTTCGACCGATTCGGTAATTGATTTTCACAAAGCGAAAAAGGGGAGACGAAAGTACCTACGCTCGTTTTTAGTTCATTATTATTACCCTTATTAAACAGTAGACAGTTTTTAGGTTGATTTACTTCAATTAATAATAATAATAAAAATATACCTAATAGAAACAGTTGACAAACTTTTGAAAATGACTAATAATATAATTAACGTAGGTATTAATAACGTCTGTGCCCCTGCGACGAGATAAATAAGTCTGATTGAAATGTTGCGGTTCTGGTAATCCCCCGCTAATGGTGGCCATAAATTTTGGCGGTGCACCAACCACACTACTATCTAAAGTGTCTCTACTATGCTTAAATAGTCAACTTGCTCAGTCAGTTAGTTATTTATTATCGCCGCCATTAGTTTCGTTAGAATCCTACATCCATGCGTACAGCACTTAACGATTGAACAGTCCCGTATTAGGAAGAATTTCAATAACTCCATCTATCACTCTATTTTAAACTACGACTCTCCAACTGTCATTGTTATTGGCTTATGATTAGTACGCACTGTTTCGTCGCCATTTCTGTTATATTTATTGTCAGGAGTTAGTACGCATTTCTGTTTATCAAAATTAACAACTGAAAGCTCACAGCCTTGTCATTGTTTTGGTCGCCCTTCTTCTGTCGTTATTACAACTTTAGTACGCATTGACAGTGTATTGTCGTCATTTGTTATATTGTCAATGTCATACAACAAAGTCAACAATTGAATGTGTACGCTGTACGCCATGCGATTGTTTCAACGTAATTTTTGTTTTGTAACTAACAAGTGCATGTTGTATTACGCATTTTTTCAGCAAACCAAGCAGGAAAATATCTAGAACGTTTCAGAATTCGCGAAACTGTTAACCGGAACGTTAACTGGAGAGAATTTCCAGTTAATCTGGGACTCGTAAGTTTAAAAATGATGACGTATCTTTTAAAGAACACCTGCAGATGAAGTACCTACATAATTAATTGCGAAAAAATTATTATGCAAGTCGCCGTTCGAATGGCTTAATAAGTGACAGTTTTATTGCAAATAATAAATTGTTTCTTTACTTTTCTTCTATTTACTTCTCTTGCCTCCGAGTAAGTAGAACTCTTTATTAATTTTTTCTACGAACAGAATGTACCGTAATTGCGAATTGTACGAAACCACTGCATTCGCAAATCGCAATTAATAAAAATCGTTTTAAGTGCGAACGGCAACGAGGCCTCGGTAACTAAAAAATTATGTGCTGTTTTAAATGAAAAACGATCCGAACGACAGGTGATTCTGTTTCTCAAATGGCAAAGGGGTCAACTAGAATTCCACCGTGTCTATAGCGACACGCCAAATTTATTGCTTTATCAAAGATGAATTGGCGTCACCAAGAGCACATCTATCACTACGAAAGGCCTCTCCTTTTAACGCAATCATTACTATTATTATCGTCACTTTTATTGGTGACGACGTTTTGGTTAGAACAAATTACTGAATATCGTCTGATTCATTCGTGAAGTGCTGCAAGGGGTTTCACATTGAAGCAAAAGCTCTTGGTCAAGGCAGATTTGCCGATGGGTGTATAAGGTATGATTTGAGATGTAAACCCAAAATCAAATCCTATTTCTGAAATTCCAGGATTTTTATCTTCAGCTTCTTTTTTAAATTTTACGGTCGGCGCATCAAAAATTCATGGTAGAAAATTTGGATGAAAGAAGTAAGCCACTCTTTTTTCATCTCAGTGAGTAGGTAGATTTATATTTGTGGAAAATAAAAGACAGGAAGTGAAAGATATTATATCCCTATTTATGTACCACCTCCCTAAACTCGTACCTAAAGATGCCTTCTTCATGGTCTCGCATTTCCTGGGCCCGTTTCCCCTCCGTTTGTGCCCGGTAGCCCTTTTGTCCCTGGACCAGTTTCGCCGAGCTTTTTGCTTCGTTCTTAATTGATTTATTAGCTGAAAACGATGCGGGCCCCCGAACGTAGCGTATAATATGCGTGCCGTACATATATTTCAATGAAACCCCCCATGCGATTTGCTTTTGTCTTCGTTTGAATCCTTCCTTCAGGTAGGAGAAGGTAAACGGCACAGGTATAAATGAAGCATGCAATTCACTGCTAATTATAAATTATTTTATTTATTTAAATGGTCATATGTATGCATGTATGTATATATGTGCGCTGTGTTTCTGCCTACTCGAATTTGTTACTGTCACTATTATCTTTTTCTTTCCTTTACGAATAACCGAAAAGGATTTTATTAATCAATTCGGTTTGATCGCAGGCTGACGTCTGGTATTAATGAGTATTTTTAGTATTATAGGTACTATTCTTTTTCTTAACTGACAAAATCTATCTGTCTTGTAATGGTTCTTCCGTGTTGTCTGGTCTACTTATTTAGAACCTGTTTCGTTTTGGATTAAGCCGATAAAAACTTATTCGGACGTAAACGAACACTGCTAAAAGCTGATGGATTTGCCCAAGCAAAATAGAAATGATAATACATAATTAGAATACTGTGATGCGATAGATTGTTTTTCCACTCTCTGACCACTGTTTTACATAAACCCGTACTTCTAATGTTGTCTTTTTGTTTGTCACCGAAAGACGATATTTTCACTCATCTTGTCGCCAGTAGAAGAAAAACGACTGGAAACCACCGAGATGGCACCTAACATACCTGAATATGAATGGTGTGGAAAAATACTGTAAGGGTTAGAATTAGTCGCCAATTTGTCGTTGAAAGTTGGTACTTTTATCCATTTTGTTGCGAGTCTAATCTCGAGCTCATCAGTGAGACAAAAAGAAATATCATAAAACAGTATCTACCGACAAATCAGCGACAAATTAACATAATTATAGTATTTTTCTAAAATACTTCTATTTCGAAATTGGCTATCTATAGTGTCAACTTGACAGTTTTTCAATCATTTTTCGCTGATGAGTTCGAGACTGGACTTACGACAAAATAGGTAAAAGTACCATCTTTCAGCGACAAGTTAGATACAAATACAACCCTTACAGTATTTTTATACAAATTTCTGTTTCGAATTACGCTATGTGTAGTGGTACCTTGAAGGTTCTCCAGTTGTTTTCCCCTGGACGGCTACAGCATAGATTAGCGACAAATTAGGTAAAAGTACAATCTTTTAGCTACAAATTAACGACAAATTATACATCTCACAGTATTTCGAGGTATGCTACGGGTAGTGTCGGCTAGATGTAATCCTAACATTTCGTCCGTTTTTTAGTAACTGGTTGAAGCGACAAATGTTTGGATTTGGTAACAAATTTGCGACAAATTATAGGCCTTAGGGTATTTCCAGGTACGCTATGGGTATTGTCAACTAGATATCAGACTAGCATTTAGTATATTTACCAGTAACTGGCTGGAGCGACAAATTTTTGGATTTGGCAACAAATTTGCGACAAATTACAGGCCTTAGGGTATTTCCAGGTACGCTATGGGTAGTGTCAACTAGATATCAGGTCAGCATTTCATGTATTTACCAGTAACTGGCTGGAGCGACAATTTTTTGGATTTGGTAACAAATTTGCGACAAATTACAGACCTTAGGGTATTTCCAGGTACGCTACGGGTAGTGTCAACTAGATATCAGGCTAGCATTTCGTGTATTTACCAGTAACTGGCTGGAGCGACAAATGTTTGGATTTAGTAAGAAATTTGCGACAAATCGGCGACAAATGTTGTACAACAAAATCAAAAATCGAATCCGTACGCCACACAGACAATTGTTTTTGCGTCATTTGTTCTAAATCCGCACTTGTAATGTTTTCTTTTGTTTTTCGTTAAAACATTTCGCGTGATTCGATTCCGTCGCCTGCTTAGATTGCGGGTTCTAAAGGCTACTTTTAAGACTTTATTACGCCACTTGAACCGAACATAATTGTTCGCTATCGTGAATCGGTAATGGTTTCATGGCCTCTTTCCGTTATTTACGATTTTGTCGCGTATTTTATCGCACTCAAGCCAGCCACCGTTCGATGGACGAGAGTTATAGTTGTTTTTTTCTCCTTCACTTTTTTCGCTGCTCTATCGACGGGCGAAATTACCCTCAACCCTTTTTAAGACGCCTTAAAAGTGTCAATTATTGTTTATAAAGACCCCTCGTCGACGGCGCGTTACAACAGAACCCTCTCTATCGCGATCGAACGCCCCGGAGAAGTGCAATAAAAGTAGAAACCATTTCACTAAAAGTCTTATAACAGCTTTCAAAGGTGAAAAGGTCAAATTGCGCTCGCGATTTTCTTAGAAATTGGACTTGGTTCGATACAACTTTAATTTGACCAACTTCTTAATGCCCTCGTAAACTTTGCAAGTAAGCAAGCATTTCCTTTCAATCCTTTAAAATTTTATAAAGTTATTTACGCTTAACAAACGAATAAACAATTGACTGCACACGGACGTATAATGACACCGTTATTGTCGTATTACTACAGTAAACAATCGAACGCACAAAAAATCTGACTGTTACAGATTTAGTACGTATAATTTTAAAGGATTCAACTGGAAGATGTCTCTAAGTACCTATATAAGGATAATTAAATAATCAAATCAGAATATTTAGCGCTACTTTCTTTTGTTATTGTTTCGAACATCTTAATTCGAAAACACTCACGCACCCACGAATTGTTTCTGATGATACAACTGGCTTAATGTTCGAACAATAATAATAATAATAATACTAATGGCGGGACCCGTCTAAACTTGGTGATTAATTTCAATTTTAAATTAAGTAATTCATTAGTCAGTAATTTATGCCGTTCCATTCCGAATGTTCTTGACTCCCCCCCCCCCCCCCCGTTCCCTCCGCGATTCTCCCCATTCCGTCGCCCACCGCGACGTTCAGTTCATTGCTGTCGATGAACTAAATTTATTTCCTTTTTAATTAAAAACTGGCGCGAGGGAAAAACGTTTTCTTTTGATTCGATTTCGAACAGACTTAATTTCAAATTTCAAATCAAATTTTACTAGAGAGAGAGAGAGAATCAATCCATTATTCCGCTGTCAGGGACGTTAATAAATGGCTAATTTCATAACGAATGCCATTATTTGCCTTAGCTGTGGGAGAAAGTAGCTAGTTCTGTACGCGAATGTTTTTTTCTTCTTTCTTGCAGAAACAAAATGTCTAATCCATTACTGGCCGTGCATTTTATACGCACGGACAGAGGCGGGTAATGTGTATCACTTCTCTTATTATGGATTTCTTCGTAGTCGTTCTACCTTCGGCTGTCATTGTTAATAAATTAATTAATCGTGGCTGCGATTGGGTTTCGAAATACGTCCGAGCATGAAATTTGATTTGGCGATTAAACATCAGATATACTCAGTTCGAAAAAGTCTTTGAATACCTGCAGCTAACTACATGTCGATGCCATGTGAAACTCGTTCTCTGAAAAAGGGACACACACACACGGACACACATTTACCACACGAATATATATATATATGATAATTTTTGCCACACAGTGTGGAAATCGCCCGTAGGAAAAGCCGAAGCAATTTTAGTTTTCTTTTAAAAGAAACTTTTGCAGTTTCGTTCTTATTAGCCATTTACTACTGGTGACTTATACCTCAATGCAAAGCCGACGGGGATGGTGGAAGAACCCCAGGATACTTTCAGGAAAATGAAATGAAAATGGAAGACAAATGAAAGATTATTTATTCGTGGAATATCAGTGCCTCAACATTTGACTATTATTATCCGAAAAACAACAGCAGAACAAATCTAGATCGTTAGACAATGGTCCTCGGTACTTTCTATCTAAATCTAATAAACATCCAATATTTACCACACAGAAACAAACACAAATCGGTTTGTATAAAATGAAACTAGTTTACTTGTGCTAAGCAGCATCAAAAATCGGACTTTCACTTTGTGTAGGTACTTCGTCGAGAAAGATTGGCATAGACGGATTTATAATGTCAATCATGCCAATCGCATCGTTTCGTTCAAATGCCAGTCTTGTGGCGTTCCATATTTCGAACGGCCGAAAAAAAAAAACTGTAACAATAAGCCAAAGCAAGGCTGTAACGGCTCGAAAATGCAAACAAAAGTACGTCTTCTACATACGAGGGTGGATTGATAAGTTTCCGGCCTGACCAAGAAAAACAAGGTTTTTAAAAATTTTTTTTTTTTATTTCTCAACATAATCTCCTCCAAGGCTGATACATTTCTCATAGCGGTGTTCCAGTCTATTAATGCCATCTCTATAGACTGATTCGTCAAGCTCCTCAAAATAACCATTTACAGCTTCGATTACTTCTTCATTGTCCGCAAATCTCTTACCGCCAAGCCATTTTTTGAGATTAGGGAACAGAAAATAGTCACTCGGGGCTAGGTCTGGAGAGTAAGGAGGGTGCGGCATCAATTCAAACTTTAGATCGTTGATTTTAGCCGTCGCAACGATTGACGTGTGCGCTGGTGCGTTATCGTGATGAAACAAGATTTTTTTCTTCGCCAGATGAGGTCGTTTAATTTTCACCTCGTGGCTCAAACGTTGCAATAAGTCTGCGTAGTATTGACCAGTGATAGTATTACCCTTTGCAAGGTAATCAATGTATATAATACCTCTTGCATCCCAAAAAACAGTAGCCATAACCTTGTTCGCCGAAAAAATTGTTTTTGCCTTCTTTGGAGTTGGTTCCCCTGGTCCAATCCACTGTTTAGACTGTTCTTTGGTTTCAGGAGTGTAGTGGTGGACCCACGTTTCGTCAACGGTTACGAATCGACGCAAAAATTCGCTTGGATTACGCTTATACAATGACAAATTTGCGGTAGAAATGTTTTTTCGAATCAATTTTTGGTCGACTGTTAGCAAACGCGGCACCCATCTTGCACAGAGCTTTTCCATATGCAAATGTTGGTGCAAAATATGTTGCACACGTTCATATGACATCTTACAGGTCTCAGCTATCTCACGCACTTTCAATCTGCGGTCTCCCAGCACTATTTGATGAATTTTTTCGATCATATCTGGAGTTGTGACCTCAACGGGGCGTCCTGAGCGAGGCCCATCAGAGGTGCTCACACGACCCTTTTTAAACTCGGAAACCCACTGCTTAACGGTTGAATATGACGGGGAGGATGTCCCCAGTGTTGAGTCCATCTCTTTTTTAATTTCCTTGGCGTTAACCCCTTCAAATAAAAGTATTTGATGACAGCACGATTTTCCTGCTTTTCCATTTTTACGAAAACCACAGAGGCGTCTTGTTCAGCGTGCTGTCAAACCTACACTAGCAAGGAGATCGGGCTGAAACTATAGCTACAAGCTATCCAAGGATGGTACTATAGAATGTCACCTCAAGGTAGGCCTAGTGGCGTCATCTCTTGGTTAGGCCGGAAACTTATCAATCCACCCTCGTATATGCAGTATGTCAGTTGTTTAGATGCTACGTACAGAGGACAAGCGAGACGCTAATTCAATCAAAGCACCAAGTAACACAATTTTACTATGGATTTTAACCCGTCGCGTCGTAAAATCTCAGTTATTTCTTAACAATTCGAGAGTCAATTCGAAATTAGGTTAATAAACGTTCAACCGATTGTGAACACGACCAATGAACAAACAATAATAATAACAACAGAAGCGGTTCATACCGATTAGTCGAATTATTAAAGTGACAAATGACGGTATTAAATAAAGGACTTGAGCGCGACTATTCATGATCGCTAGCACACAATAATATAATAGTGACAATAAATCACCATAAATTTGTTTATCGCCTTAAATGTAACGGATTATGCTTGTAACTCGGCATCGTATAAATTCAACGGCTCCTTTAGATCCAGTTAAGACGATTGAAACAGTTACTTATATTATCTACAGTAGTACCTACTAGAAATAAATCTGGTAAAAAAACCAAGAAAGTAATATGTTACATACAATCAATTAATCAATATCCTCCTCTCTCGTGTGGCATTAAAAACAAACTCTAAAGTACCTGGACGGAGATACTCATCGCGGAATTCTTACGTCAAACATCCTTTGTAAGAGCTGTCAAATCAAACGGTCCGGTCCTGAATGATATTCTAAATTTTTTCAGCGATTCGTCTTTACTTTGAATCACGAGATCGCTTATCTACAGTAATACAAACACTAATGGTCAACGTCATTGTTCAGGATTAGAGACATTTGCATAATTCGTCATTTCTGATGTTGTAGCGCGAATTTTATCTTTCGAACAAATGACTAATCCACAGGGTGTTCGACACGGCTGGCTCTCCTACAAGGATTGCGTTTCCTTTTCGTAGGGAGTCAATAAATGCCGGATGATGGCAAAAAGGACCTGTCTTCGGATGGT